ATAGTCATTTTTCTCTTTTTAAAATGCTAAGCACGTCCATAACCATCAACAGATGAATTAATGCATGCATATATACTTATATATATAGTCATATACTATTTGTGTAAAATAGTATGTGTTTTGAGTCATAAATTTGCAAATTATTATTACGTCATTTTCAAATTCGCGTCAACTTTGGTTTTTATGGTATATACCAAAACCATACCGAAATAATTTGGTATATACCGAAATCGAACCATATTTTAATTTCATACCGTATTTACCGAAGTATTAATACCGTACAAACCAAAAAACCGTATAAACTGAACCATGTAAACCGAATAAACCGAACGCACAGGATGACTCTCTCCATCCAAAGAAAGTATCTTAATCTTAGTACAATTTTGTACTAAAACAAGTACAAAGTCAAGACAATTATTTTGAGACGGAGGGAGTGACAAAGTTGTGAGCAGAAAATCCATGTCCAGTGTGGTCGTAGTAGTTTTTTTTGCTTGAACTTATTATAGTGTGGGTCGTAGTTGGTATGCTCAGCTCAATTTCGTCCCATAGAAAAACCACAGCCACGAATCAGAGGAAATCCGGCAGCGCCGCGTGTGCGAAGACGAGTCCAAACACGTTACAAAGCCGGCGATTAGCGGCACACTGAGCCGGCATCTTGTGCTCCTCCGTCCATCCGCGTCCACACCGGAGCTTGGAGGAGAGGAGGGGGAAGAAGAAGGCGACGAGGAGGCGATGGCGACCGAGTCGCCGTTCCGGGCGGACGTGCTGAGGGGCAAGGCGGCGCTGGTCACCGGCGGCGGCTCCGGCATCTGCTTCGAGATCGCCGCCCAGCTCGCCCGCCACGGCGCCCACGTCGCCATCATGGGCCGCCGCCGCGAGGTCCTCGACAAGGCCGTCGCCGCCCTCCGCTCCGAGGGCCTACGGGTGCGCCCAATCTGCTTTCCCCCTCCCCCTCCTCTTCCGCTCCAATCCTACCTACCACCATCGCGCATGTTTCACCCACCTTGGTTCCTTGCTTAGGATCTGGCGCTCTCTTGTCGTCAGGTGGAAATGCTTTTGATATTTCTTCCGTTCCTTAGTAGCAGTTGCGTGATAAGTAAACAAGAATGGAAATCGCTGCGAATTCTGTATAGAACTTGTTGTCTTCTTATCCTGGTTCATCGAATCCAATGGCGACCGCGTTCTTATAGGGGATTTTGTATAGAAATTGTTGTTTAGCTAATGAAGTCAACTTTGCTACTTTTGCAAATGAAGTGCTATATTAATCGGGTTGCACGGTGTACAATGCTTTGTACTTTATGTGTCGTTGAATTGTGAAACCATATTCACAAGGAAAGATGTTCCCGACCATGATTAAATGAACTAGCCCCTTGTGCTCTGGGGATAAAGTAGTGTTGGTCTGTACTGATGGTAGCTTGGTGTGGCGTGCAGGCTGTTGGATTTCAGGGAGATGTACGTAACCAGAAGGATGCAGCGAGAGTGCTCGCGTCGACCGTTGAGCATTTCGGCAAGCTTGACATTCTTGTCAATGGTGCAGCGGGCAACTTCCTTGCATCCCCGGAGGATCTGACACCCAAGGGATTCCGGACAGGTGCTTCATTGTGACATGTTCTTTTGGTTTACCTGAGAGTAGCAGTTTGGCCCAATTTTGTGAATATTGGCAGCACGGGTGTGACATGAGGATTTTCTTGTACCGTATACGGTTTCAATATATTGCGCCTTGGAGTAGCTAGTTTGTGCAACTGTGCTAGGCTGCTGAGCTCAAGCAATTTATGTGCTGATAACTTGTCTGTTATGTAAAAAGTATCTCAATATTGAATATTTTTCTTTCAGAGATTTTAGTATTGACTAAAATGTTCTCTCTGCAGTTCTTGAGATTGACACTGTGGGTACATACACAATGTGCTATGAAGCCCTGAAGTATCTGAAAAAGGGTGGGCCAGGGAGAGGTCCCTCCACTGGTGGCCTCATCATTAACATAAGCGCGACACTGCATTACACTGCTTCTTGGTACCAAATTCATGTCTCCGCCGCTAAGGTACTTTTATCATGTTTGATCCACTTCCAGAAAATGATTGAAATAGGTCACTTTTCCTGACGGTGTTGGCTTCTACAGGCAGGTGTTGATAGTATCACAAGAACACTGGCTCTGGAATGGGGAACAGATTATGAAATTAGGGTCAATGGAATCGCACCAGGACCAATCGGTGGCACTCCAGGACTGAGGAAGCTTGCACCTGATGAAATGGGCAAGGGGAAAAGGGAAATGATGCCTTTATTTAAGTTGGGGGAGACACGGGACATAGCAATGGCTGCGCTCTATCTTGCTTCTGATGCAGGTCAGTTGTATTCTTCAATCTTCTGGTAACCAAATAACCGGAAGTTCTTTAAACCGTCAAAGTTCAGTAAGCTGAGCATCCAGTTACCTGGAGGCCATTTGAAAGATATTGGTATCACAAGATTCATAAATACAAGCCCTGCTATAATTGTATGCTATTTTAACTCGACGAATACTTTCTTGCCTTCTCATTCTCATTCCCATACTACAAAAATTTTAAAATCAGTAAATTAATGGCTTATCCTTTGTCAGAGAGTTATCCATTTGATGTATTCAACAATTCGTTGTGCAGGCAAATATGTAAATGGGACTACACTGGTGGTTGATGGAGGGCTTTGGTTGAGTCATCCTCGCCACATCCCCAAGGAAGAAGTGAAGGAACTCTCAAAGGTGATCGAGAAGAAGGTTAGGGCCTCTGGTGTAGGTGTACCGTCCAGCAAATTGTGATGACATCCTTGGTTTATGTCACTGTCTCATGTATGCATGTACCACACTTCAGTATTGTCGTCAGCCAGCGGCTCAGCACTCTGCTGAACACAGTTGGTTTCAAATGAACAAGTTCATTGCTTACCCCTGTTGTTACTTTTAGATTTGGCCAAAACCTGAAATATTCTGATTGATTTGTGCGATCCAAGCATAAAGAAGTCCTCTGCCAAATTTCCCCCAATGATTTGTGTAAAATATACACCTGTGAACAATGTAACCTCCTACATATTGGCGATAGAAAGTGTTGTTTCTATTTGACCCCAGAACAAAGTTAATTCTAGGGCAAAACTCGCGGCAAATTTGTCGAATTGGGCAGCACGAAGTTGTGCCCACTGCCTGCAAAGTCCAGGGAAGTGAGCCGCGTAGCCAAAGCTTGTCTTGAGAGAGAAGCTGTATGTGTAACGCAACCCATGATAACAACAACTATATTCCTTAGCAGGTGTGAACATGGTTGGATCGTCCAACTCCAAGAGAAACAAAAAGGGATGTGGGCAGACGCTGACAGGCCCCATGAGAAGGAGAGCATAATTTCTTTGCCTTGCGAGCCAGTGCGATGGGTGCCTGGAGCTCCCTTGGAAGTACACAGTTTTTAGCAAGGATATCTCTTCTGCCATCATGCTCTGCGGGTTCTCCTGATCACGACTCATGAATGAGCCCCGGTGCTTGGCGACGAAGTAAACCGGCACTCTTTTCCCTTGGAACTTGAAATATGAAAATCACGTTAAAAATACACCGAAATGCTGAATATCAGTGTGAGAATATGAAAGTTTCCCTGAGATGATTTACGGAGGCAATGTGAGTTTTTTAGAGGTGTCTCTTGCCACAGGTGAGAATCGTATAGCAGTATGAGAATATGGAAGTTTCTGTGAAATAATTACACAAGCAGTGTGAGAATATGAAAGTTTCTGTGAAATAATTACACCAGCAGTGTGAGCTTACACAGACAGGTGCCTTGTGATCATCTGCTATCTTTTACCACTCATCATTTAACCACAGCAATGCTCCAGGAAAGTGCAATTGCAACGGAGTACTAGTAGTCACTGTCTCACTGAAACACCTTTGCAGAGAGATCATCTTAACTGATGACATTGGCAGGGGATATGTGTGTGTGTGTGTGACACATGCCATCATGCATTTGACCACGGCTGCATGCCTCTGCCTGGCATCCCAGCAGGTTAGGTGCAGCGTGGAGTGGACCAAGGGCCACCTAATGGAAAGCATTATTGCAGCGAGTTATTCCCTGCCTTGGCCAGTTCTAGGTCGGTCTTCTTACAGGAGCCTCCCTTGCCATGTCCGGTAAGAGGCGGTTACCAGTCCACAGCACCCACATTTCCGGCCATCTGGTACCCTCTCTCATGCACACTGAAACTCACACTTTGCACTTGATCAACACGCATTATTAATCTTGTGCTGCATTGTTTGAGATGCTCGTCCTAATGGTGCTAATTTGAGGGCACACATTAGCGCGATTTGCGGATAGATGTCTGTGGTCAACAATAATAGTCTGTTTGTGCATGCCATTGGATTTAGGGCAGAAAGTTTAAGTTGGCCACATTGCTTGATTTAATCGTTCTCTTTTCCTTATTGCATGAAATGTTTATTTGCTGTACTAGCATATAGCGGGACAGCCTGACAAGAGACGATGAGAATATTAGTAGTCTTTGAGGCTTGAAACAAGAAGTTTCCAGACTTATAAAAGGTTCCCCTGGCCCCTTTGCTACCCCATCCACCTTCTGAAGAAGCACACGCAGCCACAGCCTACACAGGTAATGCCTCTCCTCTCTCTTGCTCTGCAGCACACACTCTCTGCAAGAACATGTCTTGCAAATGCTACTCTTTTACTCTTCACAGCATACAGTTTCTCCTGTCTATGCATACAGTTTTCTCTGCCTCATCTCATGCATTTGAAGCCATTTGATCTGCGTGGTGCTTGGATTCGACTTTAACATTGTGGAGCTTGGAAGAAGTCGTTCTTTTATGATAATACCTTTGCTTCTGAACTCTTGCTTTTGAAACCATCTGCTTTATCTTACTTCCTGCACTTGAAGCCATTCGGTGCATCTCTACTCTGCATTTGAAGCCATTTACTTGATTCTCATCTTGGATGAACGTAGGCACCATGATTTGACGAGCTCTTTATGGTTTAGGAGGAGAAGAGATCCACTGAGCTGCAGCAATGGGGCGTGGGAAAGTGGAGCTCAAGAAGATCGAGAACACGACGAGCCGCCAGGTCACCTTCTCCAAGAGGCGGATGGGCCTGCTCAAGAAGGCAAACGAGCTGGCCATTCTTTGCGATGCGCAGGTTGGGGTGATCGTCTTCTCCGGCAGTGGCAAGATGTACGAGTACGCCAGCCCTCCATGGAGGTGAGTAAAACATCTCTGCACACCAGTTCAACCACTGCATATTTCTCTGCAATTTGATCTTTCTCTGCTCCTCTTGGCTTGAGGGGAAATGGAAATTTTGGATATTGTTTAGGTCGCACAATGTTGTCCTATAGCTTCCATGACGTTCTTTGTGTGTTCAGTTAGTCTTCTGCAGTTTTTCTCAGTGTGTACACTTTCTTCTGAACTTTTTGTTGGGAACTTCCAACTTCTCTTGTTGATAATCTGCACGTTTTTAGTAATGAAGTCAAGATCAATTTAAAAGTATACGAAGAACCGACGATGATCAAGTATGCCCTGCCTGTTTTCTTTTCCTTTTTGTGCGTGGCAGGACTGCAAACACCAGTTCAACTACTGCATGTCCTCTGCAATCCGATCTTTCTCTGCTCCTCTTGGCTTGAGGGGAAATGGAAATTTTGGATACTTTCCAGGTCCCATAATGTTTGTTCTAGAGTTGTCATGACGTTCTTTTGTATGTTCAGTTAGTCTTGTGCAGTTTTTCTCAATGTGTATACTTCCTGTTGAACTTTTTGTTGGGAACTTCCAACTTCTGTTGTTGCTGATCTGCACGTTTTAGTAATGAAGTCAAGATCAATTTGAAAGTATATGAAGAACCGATGATGATCAACTAAGCCCTGACTGTTTTTTGTTCTCCATTTTGTGTGTGGCAGGATTGCAAACATCTTTGACAGATACCTGAAAGCCCCCAGCACCCGCTTTGATGAGATGGACGTCCAGCAGGTACACCAGTTTAGGCTAAATCAATTAACATTGTTAATTTTTTTCTGGTTTTAGCTAATAATCTTCCATTATTTTTGATGAAGAAAATCATCCATGAGATGACAAGGATGAAGGATGAGAGCAACAGGCTGAAGATCATCATGAGGCAGTACATGGGCGAGGACCTGGGCTCGCTGACCCTGCAAGACGTGAGCAATCTTGAGCAGCAGATCGAGTTCTCGCTGTACAAGGTTCGCCTTAGGAAGGTAACCACCCAGCAACACGATGCAACAGTTCTATATTTTCTTTTACTCAGATATGAAACTCTGCATTCCTCTGTGCCCAGTGCTAATGCCCTAATTTAATTTGTCGCAGCAGCAGCTACTTGACCAGCAGCTGCTCGAGATGCGCCAGAGGGTATGCGAGACAAGATGCATTGATTTGTCCGGCATTCCTGCCATCCTTTATCAGAACTCTTTCTTTTTTGTGTGTGTGGTAAAGAGTTGAGTTTTGATGGAGTTCTGTGGATTTAATTCTGAATACAGGAGATGCACATGTCAGAGGACCAGAGCAGCAGCTACATGTTCCACATGGTAACACATCTCAGCTTAATTTCTCCTTGTCAGGTGATTTTGTGCTGCAATTTACTCACCCTTGATGAATTTGCTTGTGTTTGTCAAAAAAAGAATCCGGCGAGGGATCAGCCGGGCCAGTCGGCCGACGTGATGAATCCGAAGCTGTTCCCTCTGTGGGACGTCGGCGACCAGATCTACGGCCAGGACGCCGAGTCCTCCATGACGGCTCTCAAGCTCTCGCCGCAGCTGCAGGAGTACAAGCTCCAGCCGGTGCAGCCCAACCTGCAGGAGGGCAACCTCCATGGCTACGTCCTCCGCCTCTGGTAAGCATCGTATGCAACTGAGCGTCACTGGAATTCGTGTACATCGGTCATGATCATCTACGGGCAAGTTCATCAGCTTGACCAGTTTCATCTATCTGCAGATTTCAGGACATGCACCATGGACCTGACAGACACTACTGATGGAGGACGGATGAGCAGAGCTTCCCTGTCTGAATCTGCTCTGGAACGGTGTTCTAATCAGCTTACATTAGTATCTTATATACTGCACTGTGTGTATTAACTGCTATTGCGTTCGCTAGATTATGTTTCATGATGCTTGTAAATGAGGAGCGTGCCACCTGATTTATGTGCCTTGAGGAACTACCTCTGTTTCTGTCAAGAAGATGTGTTGTGAGTGTGACCCGGAGAGGTTATGCCTTGCATTGCTGTTCCCAAAGAAATTTATGGCAAGTAGTACTCTATATTATGATGTCTGTTTGCTTTTGTGATGCACACTGGGATCGCTGCATTCTTTTGTGTGGAGACATCACGTGAAATTCGGAGAACTGCACTCAAGCTGCGGCGTGAAAAGAACTATGATGCTGTTATATTTAGTACTGACAGTAATGGCCTTTTTGATCCGCATGATTCCAAAGCCATAGAAACAAAACAATAAAAACATGGCATTTTATTTTATGGCGTGTCAATTCATATAAAATCTAAATACAAATGACTATGTAACAGACGGCGTTTGGTTGTATCAGAGAGAGAGAGAGAGAGAGAGCAGGTTTTTCTTTAAGGACCAGTTCTTTGCAACAATTGTCATCGATACAAAGGTAGTTTTCCATGAGGTTTGACTTAATGAAAAAATTATTTTGAAAAGTATAGTCAACAGAGAAAAATTGTATAAGTTATAATCTTAAAATCAAACGAGCTCCGCAACAAATCAAATGATGTTCCTTTCAGTCAAATAGTTCCTTGCAGAAATTTGGTTGCAAGCTTTCTAAACTGTCATTGTTGTGTGACCAGATGCAAATCACTCTCAAAAGAGTCATTTCTGAGACTAACATAGTTGCCATCACACAGGTTAGACAAAGAAATACATCTTTATAAATTAAAACAAGCTAAGGGCAACTCCAACGTGGATCATCAAAACCGACCTCACCAAATGACCACGGACACGTCCGGACGTCTCCACCAACAACGATAGGGGCGGAGGCCATACAAACGTTGTCACCAAATGTCCACCCCTGGTTAAGCCTCCTCCATTCGACATGCATATCTAGATCAATACCAATTTAAGCATACGTTTAATAGTTGCAAACCTATGCAATCACAACAAAAAAAACACCGGAAGTTCAAAAAGTTTTTACATCCAATCGACCCCAAAAGTTACTAGTCCAGATTTCTGTGTCAAACACCTCCTCCGGTCCAGCTGCCCATGGCAAAGACCTCACTCTTCGGCTTGTCCGCCCTTCACCGGGTTTGCGCGAAGCGCTTCAATATGCTCGCATATTACACTTGTACAATATTCGTTGCATCGGGATCCAAGTCCAACGTCTTCAGGAACAACATTTTAGAGTCGTCCGAGGCGGCCTTAATCTCAAGCTTCTTCTCTTGGAGCTTGAATTTCTTGTATTGCATCTCCATGAACATACCAAACCTCCCCGCCTTCTTTTCCTCCTTCACCTCATTGAGTGCTACCCTTGTCTCATCCTTCTTCGTCGTGATGTCCTTTAACTTCTCCGTCATCTTGGTCGCCACTCCTTGTCGCTTCTCCTTCTTCTTCTTCTTCTTATCCCACTTCTTCCCTTGGTTCCTAATCATCTTAATGGTCAGACTAATCCAATCTTGTTTTGGAATAGTTGGATCACCACCTTTATTTTCATTGACCATGGCGATATTGGCGGAATTGGTAATCAAGGAGGCCCACTTGTCTTGCCCATTCAACTTCAACCAACAATGCATATAAATGAAGTTCTTCTTCTCCATCTTGTGGTATAGCATGCATACAAAATACATGTTAGCAAAGGAAGACAATGGATGGTCAACAAGTTGCAACATTGAGCAAATCAATGAAATGGTCCAACACAAAACAACAAACCATAAAACTCACGAGAACCTGGACTGCCGCGCCACTTGACCACCGGTTTCGCACTTGTTTGTAAAAAACGGAAAACTTGTCCGGTTGTTGGGTGCATGTCTGCTAGGTGCCCGGCTGCGGCCGTTCCTCTGGCTGGGAGTCCTCCACTTGTTCGTCTTCGTCGCCCCCTCCGTCGTGGATAATATTCATCATCTCCCCATCATCCTACTTAGATAAGAATTTCAGAAAATAGTGACCGGGCACCAACGAACGAGCGGTCCGCACCAGACATCCTTGACCGGACAAGCCCCGGAGAATGCGACTCCGTCAAGTCATAGTCGGTGTTGAGGTCGACAGTGAACAAGACTCGATGGCCGCACTTTTCCTGGCGAGGTCCGCCTTGACCAGCCTCCTGCACATCGCCCGCCTTCTTCTTTGCCTCGTAGCGGCAGGCAGAAAGACAATGATCAATCACCAGAGATTGCATATGTCAACCTAAATATCATTTACTTCCTTCATACAAAGTTTCTCCAGTGTTCATGGGGATATGATGTTGGCTAAGTCAAATATGTTTGTATTACTAAGAAATGAAGGACCTACCATGTACAAGAGGGACATCCATTAGAGCATTAACAAGCATGGAGATGAAAACAAAATATGAGGAATAAATACAACATTTCGAGTGGAGATTTTAGGACTTTAATGCCGCCATAATGACACATGAATAAATTGATTAAATATACATGATATCACTTCATAATATCGTCCATAACCATCTATAGGTGATGCACCATCTCATTTTTGACCCAGACTCATGTATTTTTGTAATAAACACTATAGGTTGTTTTTAGAGTCCATACATAAGGAGTAAACCAATCTAGGGTTTAGCCCCCCTCCTTGGGGTGGCAGAATCCACCCCCTCCGCCTCTCCTTAAATACCCCCTTAGGGGTTCGTTTTAGGGTTATATTTTATTTAGCTAAAAGTTAGATGCCAATGTAACTTCATATACTTCATTTGTGTCCAACAACCACCAATACCTCTATTGGAACCTTAACTTTATCATCTCTTTGGAATACAAGAACTTCATCTATATCCGCAATATTCATATCACATATCATAGTTTTTGTTTGTTCTCAATTGCTTGCGGGGACTAGACCTTCGTTGTCATGTTAATCGTAGGTCTGGCTGTTGGGGAACGTAGTAATTTCAAAAATTCTCCTATGCACACACAGGATCATGGTGATGCATAGCAATGAGAGGGGAGAGTGTTGTCCACGTACCCTTGTAGACCGTTAAGCGGAAGCGTTATGACAACACGGTTGATGTAGTCGTACGTCTTCACGATCGACCAATCCTCAGTATCGAACGTACGACACCTCCGCGTTCAGCACACGTTCAGCTCGGTGACGTTCCACGAACTCAAGATCCAGTAGAGCTCGGGGAAGAGTTTCGTCAGAACGATGGCGTGGTGACGATGTTGACGAAGTTACCGCAGCAGGGTTTCGCCTAAACACCGCTACAGTATGACCGAGGTGGATTATGGTGGAGGGGGGCATTGCACACGGCTGGGAGAGATCTTTGTGATCAACTCGTGTGTCTAGAGGTGCCCCCCTGCCCCTGTATATAAAGGAGGAAGGGGGAGGCCGGCCGGCCCTTGTTGGCGCGCCTAGGAGGAGGAATCCTCCTCCTAGTAGGAGTAGCTCCTAGTAGGAGTAGGATTCCTCCCTTTCCTACTCCTACTAGGAGGGGGAAAGGCAGGGAGAGAAAGAGAAGGAAAGGGGGGCGCCCCCCTTCTCCTAGTCCAATTCGGACAGGGGGAAGGGGGCGCGCTGCCTGCCCTAGGCCGGCCCCTCTCTCTTTCCCTTATGGCCCAACAAGGCTCATTAGCCTCCGGGGGTTCCAGTAACCCCTCCGGTACTCCAGTAAAATCCCGATTTCACCCCAACTCAACAAGTACCATCGGAGACACCTGTAGAGCACCTTTATAATCACCCAGTTACGTTGTGACGTTTGGTAGCACACAAAGTGTTCCTCTGGTATTCGGGAGTTGCATAATCTCATAGTCATAAGAACATGTATAAGTCATGAAGAAAGCAATAGCAGCAAACAAACGATCAAGTGCTAAGCTAACGGAATGGGTCAAGTCAATCACATCATTCTCCTAATGATGTGATCCCATTGATCAAATAACAACTCATGTCTATGGTTAGGAAACTTAACCATCTTTGATCAATGAGCTAGTCAAGTAGAGGCATACTAGTGACACTATGTTTGTCTATGTATTCACACATGTATTATGTTTACGGTTAATACAATTCTAGCATGAATAATAAACATTTATCATGAAATAAGGAAATAAATAGTAATAACTTTATTATTGCCTCTAGTGCATATTTCCTTCAGTCTCCCACTTGCACTAGAGTCAATAATCTAGATTACACAATAATGATTTTAACACCCATGGAGCCTTGGTGCTGATCATGTTTTGCTCGTGGAAGAGGCTTAGTCAACAGGCCTGCAACATTCAGATCCGTATGTATCTTGCAAATCTCTATGTCTCCCACCTGGACTTGATCTCGGATGGAGTTGAAGCATCTCTTGATGTGCTTGGTTCTCTTGTGAAATCTGGATTCCTTTGCCAAGGCAATTGCACCAGTATTTTCACAAAAGATTTTCATTGGACCCGATGCACTAGGTATGACACCTCGATCAGATATGAACTCCTTCATCCAGACTCCTTCATTCGCTGCTTTCGAAGCAGCAATGTACTCCGCTTCACATGTAGATCCCGCCACGACGCTCTGTTTAGAACTGCTCCAACTGACAGCTCCACCGTTTAATATAAACATGTATCCGGTTTGCGATTTAGAATCGTCCGGATCAGTGTCAAAGCTTGCATCCACGTAACCATTTACGATGAGCTCTTTGTCACCTCCATAAATGAGAAACATATCCTTGGTCCTTTTCAGGTACTTCAGGA